CGGGGCTAGTAAACGTGGCTGGACCACATGGCTAACGGGTGCTGTTGATTCTCGTGTAATTGGAATTATTCCTATTGTTATGGATGAATTAAATTTTTTAGCCAATATTAAACATCATTATCAAGCCTATGGTGGTTGGTCTTTTGCTATTGAAGCCTATCGTAGCCAAAATATCACTGTAGACTTTGCTGATCCAGAGACTCAGGTTATATTCGATATTGAAGATTCCTTTATTTACCGTGATCGTATGTGTGGTATTCCTAAATTAATGCTTAACACAAGTGGAGATGAGTTTTTCTTACCCGATGATTCCTTATGGTGGTATGAACAAATGCCAGGTGAGATGCATCAAAGAATGTTTCCCAATTGTGAACATTCACTAGAAGCTTGTATATTAGATGTTGCCGGTACAATAGAAGCTTTTGCTGTTGGAGTCTTTAGTAACGATGTTAGACCTAACTATGTATGGACTATTGAATCTACTACTGGTACCATACAAGCTAAACAAGTCCAAGTAGCGGGTGCACCACAAACTAGCGAAGTCAATTTATGGACGGCTACTACATTAACAGGTACTAGGCGTGATTTTAGATTGGTTGCATTAAATGCTACCGGTCAACCAGTGTTACAACCTGTGTTTTGGCACTCGACTACTATCCAACCTAATGCTGATGGTAGCTGGACTGCTGAATGTCTCCAACCAATAATTGGCTGGCGAGCTTGCTATTTAGCATTTGCTTCACTAGCTCGTTCAACATTTACATATACTTTTACTACGGATGTTAGTATTGTACCGCAGACTCTTCCCTTCCCTATGTGCACAGGACAAGCTTGTTATGGAAAATTAGTGTAATTATCCTGATTTTATTTTATTTCATTTTGTTTTTACTAATTTATTTGGTCTTTTTAGAGGTTTTTTCTTGATTTCTCCTTTTTGTCAGTTTCCTCTTATTCTAGAGATGGGCGAGTCATCACTTTTTCGGATCTGAGTTGAATTCGAGTCAGTAGCCTTCGAGTCGAGTTCCGAGTCTGAGTCGTATCAAAAATTGACTCGAATCACTGGGAGTCATTTTCTAGAAGAAATCTTCCTCCTGATTTATTTTTCCAGGAACAGGCCGTCAAACCTCTCATGTGACGCGATGTTCTACTTAGAATATTTTTCAATCTCTCTCATCTGGTATATAAAAAATACGATAAACATCGTCATGACAATCCCAGGTTACACATAATTGACTCGAAAGTGACTCGAGTCAGTTTATCGAGTCCCAGTCATAGAAAAATGTGACTCGCCCATTTCTGCCTTACTCCTACATTCCATTCCACACATTGATTCGAGTTAGCAACTCTTAGTCTGATTGTTTTACTTTTTCATTCATGGATCGAGCTGTGAATTTTATAGTTTTTCGATCCATACTATAATTTCATTTCATGGCCAACAAAATAGCATCTGTAATACAGGATGACTATTATTAAATAGGATGAATTTTGCGACCAAAAGATCGCATGTAATTTTGCTGAATAAACCACTTTTGCGTTTGTTGTCGAGCTTAAGGCCGCCCCCCCCCCCTCCAAAATCGATTTTCGACACAGTGCATGGGATTGCCACGAAATTTTCCACAAATATTGAGCACATTAAAGTAAAGTTGTGAAACATTTTTTTCGTCGCCAGATCTCAGCGTTCAGGAGTTTTCTAGAGGCCAAGGCCCAAAATGGGTCCTCCGCCTTCGCAAATTCGTTTTCACTATACTTCATGGTACAGAATTCGGGATTGTTTTATTTGAAGGAGAACTGTTTGCCCCTTTGGATGCGGGAAGGGATTTTTTTATTCTTGCTTTCTCTAATTTTGGGGAGCGTCGAAACCTCTAAAACCTTGAAATACCATCTGAGGTGTTCTAGACAGACGAGGTTTTCCGCAGAACTAGAGCCTAATTAAAAAATTCCTTCCCCTCATCCGAAGGAGCATCGACTACCCCAATAAATACAAATAATCGCAACTTTTTATAATGAACTGTATTTTAAAAAGATTTGCGCGACGTTTGACCACTAGCACAAAAAACGAAAAAATTAAAAAGAGGTCACTTATAAGCCTTTTTACCGGTGTTTATTTCAACAAACTACCACGTGGTAAGGCTATGGATGGAGGAATTTGTTATGTTTGAGCTGGCTGATGCTCATAACAAAACTGACTTTTAAATGCAGGTGTGTGAGAATATCTAACAGGAATATATTCAAATTCGTTTGTTTTAATACATATATCTTTCAGTTTGCAGATTCTGCGACGAAACTTCTGGTGTCTATCAATAACGACAGCAACGGAACGTAATGCTTTGCATGGTTTAAACACTTGATGTTGTGACCAAAAAAAACGAATTCCTGATAGCAATGTTCAAACTGCTCATGCATAAAATCATCGGATGTTTTGAAATCAATCGCTGATGGTAATTCAACGCTTTCGTGTCCCATGAAAAATTTAAATTTTATCAGTTCATAAAAACAAAGTGTTGCATTAGACGTCGACGATCTATTTTATCATGGCCGCTAATATCGTTCGTCGTTGTTGTCTGAAATGCTTGTAAGTTAAATGCATCTGCAAATTTTTCGAGCGATGATTTGGTTGAAACAACACCACATTCTAACGTTAATAACAATGCCTTTTTATATGCAAAAGTTCCTCTGAAATATTTATACTCAATCTAAAACAATTAAACAGAGTCAATATAGCTTTTTCAGCTCAAAGTTCTTTTCTAGTTGTTAGCTTTAGAAGACTAATATGAGAAGTCTTTCACGATAATTTTGAATAGTTTCTGGGTTTTTAGGATAGCATAGACAGAACAATGGTTTATTTTAGAAACCAAAAGAAAATTAGAAGTTATTAGGGCTTTGAATACTCGTTCTATTCGGGTCAGGTAGAGTGTAATATGCACTTATGTGCTGCGGTCTCCTGTTTATTTAGATATTTTAATCATAGGCTCTTAGAATCACAGAATAACCTACGTTTTGAAAACTGTTCGGAGTGATAATCAACAAATCATTCCTTTTAATGAAACTTGGGTAAATTTCATCTGGTTCTTCGTTTTTCATTTTCGTTTTTGAATGTGCACACGTCAAAAAATGCAGTGTAGCATTCTCGGTTTTTCCTGTTGTACTAAAAACTTTTATCTGTTTCAAGGTTGTCGATGATACCAGATTTTTTTTACAAATTGGACAAACCTAAAATTTGAGCAGTTATATGAAGACAAAAAGGACAATAAAAAAGTTCTTGGCATCTTCCAAAGGATCCGTAGATATTTTATTGAAAACAGTTTTCTTCAGGTAACCAATTTTTCATGTGGCTGGTTTGCATAGCACATCCAGTTACATAATCGCACAAATCTTAGAATTAACGAATAAGTTTTGAAAGGAACTTGAATTAGTTCAGTCGAAATTGACTGAGAAAATGTAAACATCAAATCTTTCAAAATGACTGCTGGACTTTTCTAGTCCTGGACTCTGACGATTTATCTTATAGAGGTATAACTGTCTACCGATATCAGATTTGGAATTAGCACGAAAGATAGTCTGCAAAAACAATTTTTTCAATAAAATAATCGGGATAGACACTTAGAGTTTCCTCTTTAGTAAGATAATTCAGGTTCTCAATAAAGGTTACAATATACAACCAAGTAAAAAGAATTGAATAACTCACATCTTGGAATGGTGTTAATTGAATATAATTATATTTATTACATCTAGCATTCAATAATATGTTATTCGGATTACTACTATAATTTTCTAGTGTTGCTTGAACATCAGTATTTGAGTTTAGTTTTGGTAGCAATGGGTTCTGTAATAATGACAAAACAAACGATAGTTCTTGAGCTGTGTAATTTGTATTGAATTTCTGATTTATTATAAAGCAAATACGATCCATTTTATCTCATAAATAAACCGGTAACGTATTGTTTAATTCAACAGTCACTAAAATATGTTCTAATTCCATGTACTCTATTAATGTTTTAACTAAATCAAGGATGTTTTCTTCGTATTTAACATCCATATTTGTCTTTAACACTGCAGACATCTAAAATATTTATCGAAATCGAACCAGCGTTGATTAATGGAATCAGTTTTAAAAGATAATTCAAAATGTTTTGAAGCAAAGTAATGACGACGCATTCAACTTCATTACAACTATAACTCTTCAGCAAAATAAACAAAAAGCACAGCTATGAAAACCAGAATATGAAATAACAAAAAAACTAGAAACAAAGCAATTCACAACAAAAATTACTGTCTATTCAAAAAAACAGTGCACATCGTCATTTTTCGAGTAACTTTTATTCCAAAATAGAGACCTGTGGTTTTCGCGAATTGAAAGGGGAAACTTGGGGCCGAAATCTTTTTCAAAATCTTTCTGTAAACGAGGTTTCATAGGAGACCTTTGGTCAATCAGGTCACAGCCCGAAAACTTGAAGTGGGAATATTTTCGTTTTTTCCCATGTATCAATCAATAGCCTAGAGTATTCTCCTCAAAATCAAGCAACCTCTTCGTTTTTTATCGTTTAGGGGTGACATCGGATTTCCTAGGAGTTGCAGGATTGGTGTTTGGTCACTATTGCTAGTCTCAGAAAGGAATAGATTGTAGGTAATCGGTCATGCTGAATATTGCGGCAACATTTGTTTTTAGAGAAAAATTTAAAAACTTAATGGAAACGTCTTTTTACGGAAAATATCGTTTTTCTTACTTTTTACCAAAAACTAAAAGATTCATATTTCATTCAAAACTGTTCCAAATTACTTGAAAGTTTCACGATAGAAGCAGTTTCATATGTATAACATGATTCTATATCTTAAACCCTAAAATAAGTAAATATTTATGAAGTTTTCTGGAAGATTATCTCAAAATCCAGTACAGTCTTAATGATGTTTTCGCTGTTTAAGATATAGAATCATGTTATGCATATGCAACTGCTTCTATCGTGAAACTTTCAAGTGATTTGGAACAGTTTTGAATGAAATATGAATTTTTTAGTTTTTAGAATGGAAAAAGACAACATGAACATAAGCTCTAATCAAGAAATAACTTTTATATATCAAAAAGTAATTGACAATAATTCTGATTAACTACCAAAAAGTTTAGCTTTGCTTACGTCTAGCTCCACGAGTACGTAAGGCTACAGGCGTTCTTGTTATTTGTGAGCTATCTCCATCTCCTTGAGCTATATATTTGATAAACGTCGTTTTCTATTTGATGAATCATCTGCTGTTCCTGTTAGTAGCGCCGGTACGAGGAATTGTAGCCAGGTTGGTTAATCGAACTTTGGATTCTAATGGAACGAAAATAAAGCGTTCGACCATGGGATCAACAGCGGCTTGTTTTTTCAGTCTCATCGCTAATACGGATTGAATGACTTCACCTGTTGATGCTGCCGTGAGAATATTTCTAGCATTGCTGATTTCAATAATTTCATTTGACAATATTTTTCGGTACTTTTTTGGGCAATTTCACATTGGTAATAAACGATTGCGACAATCAAATGGACTTGGATGCTTTCCTTAAAAGACAAAAATTGTCTCCCAGATCGAAATAAAGTAAACTTTTATCTTTTCATTTACGAATTAAGAGAAAATAATACAAAAATGAGTTTCTTGGAGTTGAAAGTATTTGTTTGAAAAAATTAACTGCCGTTTGAGTGACCCTATATTTTCCAAAAAAATTGGGCAAGTTTGTATAAAACTATGACTTATTGTGCTCAGTCAGTCACTCTCATCACCTCTCACATTCCCTTTTTGCTATTCTCTATAGCATTACTATTTCCTCCAAATTACTTGAAGCATAAGGCCGCTCTAAATGCCGGTTGACCATTTGTAAGG